CATATAGGACCCCAAACAAACAACGGCCAACGCGAAATAAGCAAGGCGTTACCTGAGTGTTATGCATGAAATTGGGGAACTCTTTGGGTATAGGGAAGTCGCTGAAACACATCAACTCCTTGCTTGTGTTGATGACAGTTGACTTCATCACGCACGCTTGATCCTCGCAGATTTTTTCCGTGAAATTCCATAATCCCCCGATCTCGTCAGTTCGCTCAAAACAAAACGGCTGCAGATTTTCTTCTAAACAACATTTGATAGCGATAAGACCGCTACACCCGGCTCCGATGATCGCCACCCGCTTCGCCATTTTGAAAGTTGCCAGAGCGGTCTGACCTTCGACAACACTCAATGTCAACAGTGTCTACGTGCAGTTTGGCACGCACACTACCACACTCATGTCTACTTTGAAATGTCACCTAATTGTGGCAACAGAGTGCCCGTCAGACCGGAATTTATGCAGGAGTCTGCACAACACGACATGTGGCTGTTTACTTTTCTGCACCAGTCTGATATTTAGATTGTCACTGAGTCTGCTTACAACGACACTGAACATATCAAAGTTCTTTCTCATTGTCTCTAACCCCCAAGAATAAGAATATCATAGCTGTGTTGAATTTTGTGTTTTGTGAATCTTGAATCTTATTTTCCATACTTTAATCAATAAAATAAAGTTTGCATTATCTTAGTATAAACAATCTGATGGTAATAAAGGGCCGATTTTCAATGAGGTTTCAAGTTTAACGAAATATCTCCACAACCAGTGCATATTGGATATATATATTCCAACTCCTGGTAAATAATAGTTCAAGTATAAGATGAAACTACCTCTATACATGCAGCCAGTTTTGATATTTCACATTGTTTTAGAAAACAAGAACTCGTGTTTGATGCAGATTAACCCATATTGAGCACTTGTTGCAATATTTTTCCTTTTGGTGATGAAGGCCATTTCCAGAATGAAAGAAAGGATAACAAAGTCAGCAGCCAAAAGTGACCTAAAGACATTAACCTTTATTTTTGAGCAAAATCCCTTTCCACTTTGATGCACACTGTATGCACACAACTGACGCGATGTAACATATGTTATATTTGGGATTACACTTTCTTAGTAAAGTACAGATTCTAAGATTCTAATAGTTTTGTTGGGTTGAGTCAAATTCGGGATTCGAACCCACACCTTCAGAGTCAGGCATCTAATCGCCAGCACACAAAGTCTGCTGGTGGAAGCCGCGGTGGTTGGAGTGGGTTAGGCGGCTGACCTTGTTTTGTACGATTTGCTCTGCTATTTCTTTAAAGAAATGTCAATATTTCTAGTTCTTCCTTGAAATAAATTCTGACATTTGATAAAATAACACATGCAATATATTTGGCCTGTTTTCCATTTTATATTGTTTAAATTGTTGCACAGTTTTGCTTAAGTTAATCTTTTGTGTCACTCCTCTAGGTCATGATGGCCTCCCGGGGCTTCGCCCACGTACCGGCCTCCACAGGCGGTGTTTGTGGGGGTGGGGGCAATGTAGCACTTAAGCCCCAGTCCCAGTCAGCATAAGACGGCCTCAGATAATGTATAGTAACGTATAGGGTGAAGAAAAGTGTGTGTACTGGAACTTTTCCATGTGTAATGTATCGATTCTCTAAACTGAAATCAGTCTGATAAAACCAATACGCTTGCCTCCTCCACTGATTCACAATAGACAGAGGCGACAGACCAAATGCCAAAAATGATTTGGGAGGATGGACCGCCAGTTGTTACAGACATTTGTGTGAGTGAGTTTAGTTTTACGCCGCACTCAGCAATATTCCAGCTATATGGCGGCGGTCTGTAAATAATCTGGAGTCTGGACCAGGCAATCCAGTGATCAACAGCATGAGCATCGATCTGCGCAATTGGTAACCGATGACATGTAGTCAACCAAGCCACCACCCGATCCCGTTAGTCGCCTCTTACGACAAGCATTGGTTACTGAAGATCAATTCTAACCCGGACCTTCACGGGTTGTTACAGACATTGAATCAGGGGGGATAATCCATATCTCATCATTTCATTGGGTATAACTTTATAGTAGCATCATTCCTATGCTCGGTGAGAGGAATTTCGAGTTATACTAAGTAGAGATGAGTTACATTTAAATATATTCGACTGACATCCAATAAGTGTTGACAGTTCGGCCCTCAAGTCAAATGTAGTCAACACTCGTGTTGACGTAGGCAATCGACATATCTCGTTGTCATGCCCGCTTCTTTTTTCTCAGTGTCTCACCTGAGACTTCACGTGTCTTCGTGAACACAGATTATTATTTGTGCAATAGATTGAATGCACATTAAAGGCTGATATCAAGTTCCCATTTGAATTTAGCGTCATAAGGTGCAGATGTCCCAGCTGCATTTAAACAACATATCACGTAAATATCATGACAGTGTCCAAAATACGGTTTGGTTTTACATTCGCAGACTTGCATTAGGTTTGTCCATGTGATAAATGAATGATTGATTTTCCAATATTAACATATTCCAAATAATATCCAGAAAACACAGTGCTTACTTTGATTTGCTTGGCGACACTGCAATTCTGCAATAGGCATAATGGCACCGAGAGGTTGAAAACAACAAATCAGCATTATGTATGTTTCAGGATGGAAACTTGCATTTGAAGATTTTGACCAGGTTATTAAGTGTTGAGTCAGAGGAGTGAGTGAGTGAGTTTAGTTTTACGCCGCACTCAGCAATATTCCAGCTATATGGCGGCGGTCTGTAAATAATCGAGTCTGGACCAGACAATCCAGTGATCAACAGTATGAGCATCGATATGCGCAATTGGGAACCGATGACATGTGTCAACCAAGTCAGCGAAACTGACCACCCGATCCCGTTAGTCGCCTCTTACGACAAGATAGTCAGAGGAAAAAAGTAACACAAATTCTGATTAAAAATTGAATTTTTATTAATAAAAACGTGATTATATGACGGCTATGTGATATTGAACATACATGTATATATGGAAACAGCATGTCCACAATTGTAAAGACAATTTAGTGTGGACCTCATGAAAGCTGCAAAGAATGTTGATATTAAGCACCTGTATCTCACAAACTCAACAGAGACATTGTTATATAATACAAAGGGTAACATATCAATATACGCACTTCAAGCGACATTCATAACAAACAAAGTTTATCTGCACTATCAATGTGAATATTACTTCTATGTTTTGTACGGCCAGATTATCGTATCCAATTCTGAATTTCAACAATTGTCTCTTGTATTTGCTAAATTCTGAAGACTTAAAGTTCTGGGTCTGTTGGTTTTATACTGGCCAGGTGTCATTAGTCTTACGATGGTCTGCCTTGTACAGCCGAACATTCGGGCCTCAGGGTTGCTCCCAGGAGATATCATTGTAAAGCAATTCCACCACAGTAACTTGTACACCGCTGGAACGATATACATTTGATGTGAAACCGATTGCATACTTGTGGATATTGGTTTGTCTGTACCAACTTAAAGTTTTCTATTCAGATGTCCAATTTCCTTTGTTTTCCTTACTCAAGACACGTGGGCCGGATTAACCTGGAGTAGTATTGGCAGATTAAACCTGGAGTAGCGTTGGCAGCTTAAACCAGGAGTAGTATTGGCAGTTTTAACCCCCAGTAGTCTTAGCAGACTGAACCTGAATTGGTGTTGGTGTTTATACCCTGAGTTGTATTGGCAGTTTAAACATGGAGTAGTCTTAGCAGATTAAACCTGGAGTAGTGTTGGCAGAATACAGCTGGAGGAGTGTTGGCAGAATACAGCTGGAGTAGTGTTGGAAGAATAAACCTGGAGTAGTGTTGGCAGAATACAGCTGGAGTAGTGTTGGCAGAATACAGCTGGAGTAGTGTTGGCAGAATACAGCTGGAGTAGTGTTGGCAGAATACAGCTGGAGTAGTGTTGGCAGAATACAGCTGGAGTAGTGTTGCAGAATAAGCAGAATACAGCTGGAGGAGTGTTGGCAGAATACAGCTGGAGTAGTGTTGGCAGAATACAGCTGGAGGAGTGTTGGCAGAATACAGCTGGAGTAGTGTTGGAAGAATAAACCTGGAGTAGTGTTGGCAGAATACAGCTGGAGTAGTGTTGGCAGAATACAGCTGGAGTAGTGTTGGAAGAATAAACCTGGAGTAGTGTTGGCAGAATACAGCTGGAGTAGTGTTGGCAGTTTAAACCTGGAGTACTATTGGCAGTTTGACCCTCGAGTAATGTTGGCAGAATTCAGCTGCAGTTGTTTTTGGCAGAATACAGCTGGAGGAGTGTTGGAAGAAAACAACTGAAGTAATGTTGACAGAATAAACCTAGAGTAGTGTTTGGAAAATACAGCTGGAGGAGTGTTGGCAGAATAAACCTGGAGTAGTGTTGGCAGAATAAACCTGGAGTAGTGTTGGCAGAATACAGCTGGAGTAGTGTTGGCAGAATACAGCTGGAGTAGTGTTGGCAGAATACAGCTGGAGTAGTGTTGGCAGAATACAGCTGGAGTAGTGTTGGCAGAATACAGCTGGAGTAGTGTTGGCAGAATACAGCTGGAGTAGTGTTGGGAGAATACAGCTGGAGTAGTGTTGGCAGAATAAACCTGGAGTAGTGTTGTGAGGCTGGAGTAGTGTTGGCAGAATCGAACAGAGATTGGCAGCTGAGTAGTGTTGGCAGAATACAGCTGTTGAGTAGTGTTGGCAGAATACAGCTGGAGTAGTGTTGGGAGAATAGGTGTTATAACCTGGAGTAGTGTTGGCAGAATACAGCTGGAGTAGTGTTGGCAGAATAAACCTGGAGTAGTGTTGGCAGAATACAGCTGGAGTAGTGTTGGCAGAATACAGCTGGAGTAGTGTTGGCAGAATACAGTGCTGGCAGAGCTGGTAGTGTTGGCAGAATACAGCTGGAGTAGTGTTGGCAGAATACAGCTGGAGTAGTGTTGGCAGAATACAGCTGGAGTAGTGTTGGCAGAATACAGCTGGAGTAGTGTTGGAAGAATAAACCTGGAGTAGTGTTGGCAGAATACAGCTGGAGTAGTGTTGGCAGAATAAACCTGGAGTAGTGTTGGGAGAATACAGCTCGAGTAGTTTTGGGAGAATAAACCTAGAGTAGTGTTGGCAGAATACAGCTGGAGTAGTGTTGGCAGAATAAACCTGGAGTAGTGTTGGTAGAATACAGCTGGAGTAGTGTTGGCAGAATAAACCTGGAGTAGTGTTGGCAGAATTCAGCTGGAGTAGTGTTGGCAGAATACAGCTGGAGTAGTGTTGGCAGAATACAGCTGGAGTAGTGTTGGCAGAATACAGCTGGAGTAGTGTTGGCAGAATAAACCTGGAGTAGTGTTGGCAGAATTCAGCTGGAGTAGTGTTGGCAGAATACAGCTGGAGTAGTGTTGGAAGAATAAAGCTGGAGTAGTGTTGGGAGAATAAACCTAGAGTAGTGTTGGCAGAATACAGCTGGAGTAGTGTTGGCAGAATAAACCTGGAGTAGTGTTGGTAGAATACAGCTGGAGTAGTGTTGGCAGAATACAGCTGGAGTAGTGTTGGCAGAATAAACCTGGAGTAGTGTTGGAAGAATAAACCTGGAGTAGTACAGGGAGAATAAATCTGGCGTAGTGTTGGCAGAATACAGCTGGAGTAGTGTTGGCAGAATGCAGCTGGAGTAGTGTTGACAGAATACAGCTGGAGTAGTGTTGGGAGAATGCAGCTCGAGTAGTGTTGGCAGAATACAGCTGGAGTAGTGTTGGAAGAATAAACCTGGAGTAGTGTTGGCAGAATACAGCTGGTGCAGTGTTGGAAGAATAAACCTGAATTAATGTTGCAAGAATACATCTGGAGTAGTGTTAACAGAATATGTTTAAGGTAATGGTGCAACAACAAACCTTGAGAAGTATTGACAAAATAAACCTTGAGTCATGTTGACAAAATAAACCGTAAGTATTTTGCCAGAATATACCTGACATACTGTTGACAGTATAAACCTGATGTGGAGTTGCAACTGACAGAGGAAAGCAACACAAGGAACACCAGGTACCCATGAACTGAAAACTTTCTGTCAATAAGAAAAGTCTCCAAACAGATTCCTGGCTTTGAATCCCCAGCATCTCATACTACCATCTGTGTAAAATATGTAAATCTTTGGATGTAAGACGACCAGTGAAAAGCTCGTCACACCTCATTTAAAAGAATACTTGGTAAAGGACGGCAATCACCACCGCTAGCAGCACCAGTGTGAGGAGTCTGTGGGACAACTGTGACTGTGTACCTTCAGGCAGTGATCTGGTCTTAAAGGGGTACTCCATTCTGTATGTCTGGGTCATGATGGCCTCCCGGGCTCCCGACCAGGAGCCCGGCCCCCTCAGGCGGTATTGGTAGGGGGTGTTGGGGTCGAAAAAGCACTTGAGTCCAAGTTGCGGATCGGTGAGAAGGAGACGACCTGAGACAGAAAGTTTGAGTAACGTATAGAGTGAAGAAAAATGTGCACATTAGAACAACGATTATTCTAAAGATTCTCTAAACTGAAATCAGTCTGATAAAACCAAGACTCTTGAATCCCACCATTGTTTCACAACGGACCAATAAGACAGACCAAATGCCAAATTTGTTCGATATTCTCAAACATTTTCTGGAGGGATGTGGTTTGACTTTATGGTGACATCATTCCTATGTTCAGTTCTACTAAGGGGAGACAATTTATATTCGAATATATTCGACTGACATTCAACACGCTCTGCTTGTTCGTTCCAGCCACCAAAAATGTCCACTTCACGGTCTCAAACTTAAGCGTGACTTTCACCTCGCCTGCGGTACACTCGGGCAAATCTCAATGTGAATGGAGATTCGTCTCTGAAGACAACGAAATTCCGCTGTCTTAAATGAACCCTATGTGCTCACTCCCTGCTTGTGGAAGTTGCAGTAACAAATCTGTTCGAAAGATTACGCAATCGTATTGCTTGATCTTCCCGGACTGACGTCACACATGACGCTCCCGGCCTCGGGCGGTCGGCAACAGTTCCGGTTTAATACACTCTCATACTAAGATTAAAAATTAAAGGATCTTGCAACAACGACCACAGACTGACCAGCATCAAGCCTCCCCATAGCACATTGACGTTCCTGATTTGAAAGGTGTGGAATTTCCAAACAAAGATTAAAATGAAAAGTTTAACATGCACGAAAAGTCCTCATGAATTTGCTTTTCACAAGTGCATTTAGAATTTTTCAACTTTATAGACTACAAAGTCTAAGTTTGCATGCGAACTTACAATTTCACGAAATTAAAGCATTATTAATTTTGCCGAGTACAGTTTAAGACATTTAACTAGGGGTGACAGTTGTTGACACAACACTTGGGTATGACTCGAGATGAGATAATTAAGCATTCTCAATTGGAAGAACATCCCATTCTACTAACGGGAGATAATTCACCATTCACCTATATTCGGCCGACATCCCACAAGTTCAGAGAGTTCGTCCATGAAGTCGACGTAGTCGACCTGTATGGTGTGACGCTGGGACTCGACATATCTTGCCGCCATGTTTGCCTCTTTCTTCCCAATGTCCGCCCACATCTCGTACTTCGACGGGAGACTGTACGTGCCCTGGTGAACACAGATTATGACAATGTGGATGTGTTGGAATGCACATTAATGGCTGTTTTGTGGAAAGGCTTGTGTCGCTTCTATTTGTGTCTGTGTACAATCAACTTCCCACTTTGAAGTAAAAGGAATAAGGTTCAGTCCCAGCAACCACTCAGCAACAAAAACACAAAATTCTCTAGACAGTGACTAAGGATACGGTTGGTTTTACATTCGTAGAATCGGATCAGGTTTGTCAAGGTAATAAATGAGTGATACATTTTCCGATATCAACTTATTCCAAATAAAGAACCAGTAAAAAAGAAAACTGCTTACTTTGAACACTCTGGTTGCCAAGCGACACTGCAATTCTGCGATAGGTATAATGGCGCCGATAGGCTGAAAACAACCAATCACCACCAATGTCTGTTTCGGTAGGTCAGGTGGAAACATATATTTGAACATCTTGACCTTATTCTTCTGAACGTTGATCACAGATTTATCGATGAACGGGAAGCCGAATATATATCCTGTAGCCAGTATGATAACGTCGATATCATCTTCCACCGTCCCGTCAACGAACTCCACGCCAGTCTTGGTAAACCTCTTGACGTCAGCCTTGATCTTTAAAGAGCCAGTCGCGATTCTGTTGGGCATGTCATCGTTTATAGTAGGACATTCAGCAAACACCGAGTGTTTAGGCATCAAGGAGTACAGCTCGTGGTCGAAACGTTTGTTCAGAGCTTTCTTTAGTATATTGCTCAGTGTTTCTTCAGGCATGGCGTGTCGAATTGTATTGAACCAACGCGTGTTTAGAAGAAAATCGCCGGGAATACCATTGTCCGCAATTCTGTTGAGCACCCAGGTACCACGCCTCGTACTCAGAAACACCTGTGCAAAGAAGAATCAGGTCTTCATTCATCTTTTTTTGGATCCAATATTATTAAATCAGCAATATGTTTGAAAGCACACCAGCATATTACAGCTGAATGACGGATGTATATAATCGAGACTGGGCCAGATAATGCAGTGATTTTGAGCATCCATGCTCCCGGGTTTTATTAAATATATCATCGACTCTTACCTAACGTAAAATGTATTCGATTCTGGATTCGAATTTTAAGAATGCCAGCACATCGCCTTCCCAAACTTGCTTACAACATCATGCTATTGCACTATGATAATCTTGGTAAAGTCACATGGGCTTCTCACATCCATATGTTACTTTTCTCTCTTGGTTTTGGATATATATGGCTGTCACAATCTGTGGAAAATGTAAATATCGATTTCGACAATGTTTCATTGAAAACTTTCGACAAGACTGGATGTCTACTTTAAGTGATAGTTCACCTTATACCTCCTATGTCTATTTTAAAGATACCTTAGAACCTGAAAAATATTTATCCTGTCTTCAAGCTAAAAATATGAGAAATACATTTGTTCAATTTAGACTTGGTCTTACAAATCTAATGATCAATGAAGGTAGAAAACATGATTTAGAAATGTATTTGCGATTATGCCCTTTGTGTAGCTCTGGAATTGAAGATGAATTCCATTTCTTATTTTTGTTTCCAACTTTTAAGTTGCTGCGAATAAAATATCTTGGCGAACATTATTGTCCTATTCATGTAAATTTTACCGTTTTCGCTTATCTCTTGCCTACAAAAAATGAAGCAATTTTATCTGATCTTGCATTCATTGTATGTACATCACGCATTGTATGTACATCACGCACTTGTATGATTATTGTACCAGGTCACTGAAATTTAATATCCTTGGTTTAAAATATTAAATGAATGATTACAGCAGAATGAATATGTTTACATATTGTATCTATGAACTATATATAGGCCTGTTAACTCGAGTCAGGACCAGACAATCGGGCAAGCAACCATTCAGGATGTTTGCTATCGAATCTTACCACCCAATGCATTAAGTCACTTCTCATTAAATAAAACCTAATTAGGGTTGGCTTTCAATATCATTGACACTTACCTTCCCCACCCTGCTCAGCTCCACAGCCACGTCCCCGCCTGAGTTACCGACCCCGATAACCACTATCCTCTTCCCAGTGTACCCGGTCCAGTCCTTGTAGTCATGAGAGTGAAGGATCTTCCCCTGGAAGTCCTCTTGACCGGTAAAGTGCGACACATTCTTGCTGGCGTGATGACCTGTGCACACCATCACGGCGTCAAACACCTGCGTCTCGTCACTTCCAGTCTTGTGATCTCTGATCTGCAGATCCCATCTTCCGGTCTGCTCGAAGTCACTCGACTTCTTCACGGCCAGGATCTCTTTGTTGTATTGGATGTGTTTTGTCAGGTTGAAGGCATCTGCAAACATCTTGAAGTACTGCCACAGAAATCGTTTGACTTTAGAATAAAGTCATGAGGACCTGTCAATCACTCTCTAGTAGACCTCAAGGGTTCGCATTTAGGTAAAACTACACTAGTTCCTGGTGCCATTTCCACGATATCACGATCTCAACTTGGTGTTCAAGAACATTTTACCAAACAATCAAAACTTGAGATATGGTAAAATGAAATGGTGAAGGGGGAACTTGTAATGGACATGAGAACATTTTGAGGTTTTGCCTCTGCATGTCAGTCAATTCTTTAATGTTGAATTTCCCACAAACACTATTGTAGACAATTGGGCTGGCTGCCATACTGATTGGTTCGTTAGCCCAAACAGGGCAGCAAATGAATGAGTGAGTTTAGTTTTAAGTCGCACTCAGCAATATACCAGTTATACGGCGGCGGTCTGTAAGTAATCAAGTGTGGTCAGGCAATCCAGCATGAGCATCGATCTATGCAAATGGGAAGGATGTGTGTGTGTGTGTGTGTGTGTGTGTGTGTGTGTGTGTGTTAGTGTGTGTGTGTGTGTGTTAGCAAATGAGACTCAATAATGAAAATCAAGGGAAAGAAACTTGCCATCAAGATAACCAAGGGATATAAGCGGCGGATTTCGTTTGCATTTTGTGTTTAATGAACTGCAAATTTTAAGTCGACTACTACTACTACTACTACTACTACTACTACTACTACTACTACTACTGCTACTACCCCTACTACTACTACTACTACTACTACTACTACTACTACTACTACTACTGCTACTACTATTACTAGAGCCCACCATCCTCGCTCATCCCTCCATCTTTTATATTTGTGAATTCAATTGGGAGAATATGGCTTGGTTAACGTGGAGGCTTTTCATTTTATTGAACACTTTTGCACACATTTATCTGTCTGATGATCTACTTGTGTAGCATGTCAAAACTCGTGATGAAAGCAAGGTATTCCACAGCTGGTCGACTCAACTTGAGATGTATTCGCAAGGGCAGGTGCAAACATTACAGTCTGTTCCAAAGTATTCTGAAGTCTCTTCATTGCATTCACCTCTTTTGATCTTTTGTGCTCAATGAAGAGGAAGGTTACCACCCTGGACCTCCGCATCAAAGACCCCCAACACTGCTTACTCATCTGCTTAATATGGATAACATGGAGCTGCTGCTTGACAAAAGAGAGACAAATTCGAAGACTGGTTTTCCTTGTCCAGATTTTTTTCTAAAGATAGGGGCATGACATTTGCACTCGACAGATGGAATACTCTTCATTTGGAACGTGGGAGGGTAATGAATGATGGATCGGTCAAGTAACAAGGGGGTGGGGTTATTGAACATATTCACGATAGACGTCAGACTGAGTATAAATCTTGCTATAGGAAAATCTGACACTCAGAGCTAAATGCTCAAAACAAGGTCAAATCCACGTATACCTTTGCTGTGTCAGTTCTATTCCGCTGGAGTAGTTGATGCAAAATAGCAACCAAACCGAGTCCTTCCTCTGAATTAAGTCGACTGGTCTTAAATGTGAAAGAGAGGGCTTCCTTTTATTCAGGACCAGATACTTCCCACACGTAATCGCCAAAATGCATGCAAGCACAGGGCTCGATAAAAGGACCTTGATTGAAATTGCACCAGGTGCATAACAAACAAAGTGCACCAAACAAGGCCATGCTGTAACCTGTTCCCAAACATTTATCAAAATGCAGGAAATTTTGTATCTATTCTGAAATAATTCAAAATTACATCAAATTACAACCAAGAACAAACCACCTTTTTTTTAAAGACTTGGAGAAGAAATGGAGAAGAGGAAATGACCAGAAAAAAATGACCTTAACCATAATTCTAGCACGACAATGTGTGATGCTCGATTCTGATTGGCTGAGAGCTCATCAAAACCGTACTTAAATGACAGTTTAAGGACCGAAAATTAAAGTGACCGATTCACCGTGTATGAATACAACGAACTCATTGACCCTACTGTTTGTAAACAAACATGTCGGACATAGGCAATTTTTATCTCGGCAGCATCTTTGGTGTTTCTGAAGTAAAAAGCGAATGGTTTGAAGGAGAATTTCTTGACCCTAATCCCAGGGAAGAAACTACGAAGCTGGAAAATCCGTCAGCAGCGCAAAAGCGGTAGTATATTCAAAGCGGGTCCAGATCTACGTGTGTTGACGTCGACAACAAACGTCGGCCCACACGTCCTAACCTGACCGCTTCCGTCCCGGTCGTAATGCCCAGTCCTTCCACTTTCACTGTCCATGTATCCCACATAAAACGTGGCATGTCAGGTCTTTTCCAAATTGGGAATAGTAGGGTGGTTATCAACAATTATTTCCGTGAATAAAGTTAGCGGCGACTAAACTTAGCGAGTTCACGGCTTGCATTTGGGCGAGTCGATTGTCATACAGTAGGGGAGATCAATAATTCGCTTGAGAAAAATCAAATAATTGTACTTGCTCACAGTATAAACTGTATGTTTTTTTTATTTATGCATGCTACTTGTTACAAATACAAGCATACTGGTTCCTGAAATATAGCATTTATGTTGTTGAAAATGTCTTATTTTGTTCATTACACAACCTGTCCCTCAACGGGACGACTCCAAGCGATTTCCAGGAAAAAGGCCCCTTTTTCCGCCTTGTGTTCTTGCGTGCCAAACAGTTCGGTTTTAAAACGCTTATCAGTCGTGCTAGTGTCATAAATTCGACTCCAAGGTTTGTTTACAGTAGTTGTCTCGTCGCATGGGTGACGTCATAAAGCGTGACGTCACGACTGTGTGGGTAGGTTTTGGACGTGTGTGAGAGAATAAAAGATGGCGAACTACACCAACGCTTTGCTTGTCTGTGATCCCCAAAACACGGGCGTGCAGCAAGGCCAGAAATCCCCCATACCTGTTATACGCTTGTAGGGCGTCAATCCTACATGGTGGAGATGCAAAGGTAAACCTTACACTCGGAAAAGTCGTTTCAAATATGAATATTCTCGTCATTATACCGTGACCTTGATTGTCCTTGGCATTCGGCGTGTCTCAATCCTATGACTGTTTCAACCAAATCTTCAGCGATTTGGATTCGTGATACAAAATGTCTCAAGTCTACCGTCACTACTTTCTTACACCTGGAAAACTACCCAGTTTCAAGAACTGAATTAATAAATCTACTTGGACCCTAAATCGGCTGCAAAATACGACGGCAAAATACAGCTGTGAATCTTTCTTGGAATTTCTACGGAGATTTAACATCCTATGGTCACCACAACTCGCAGCTCGCCTTGTACCACATGCATCGTGTTCAATCGTATGGTCTTGTGTAGATATCCGACAGAAAAGAACTAAGATGTAATCCAAAATTTTGCTGTTAACAAGATTTCTATCAGGATATCAAAATGGCAGTTGAGTATAAACATTATCAGTTGAGGAAATTTACTGGTCTATCTTCTGAGGATGGGGAAAAGTATCTGAATGACTTTGAAGCTTACGCTACTTTGGCTCAACTTCAGGGGCCAGCTAATGATGCACGTAAGGTTGCTGCATTTCAACTCCATTTAGATGGTCCTGCTGCCAAATGGTTTATGTCCCTAATACCACAAACACGCAGATTCAACTGTTACAATGTTTGTTCTGCCTTTCATACTAAGTATATTGATTTTGACATGAATGACAACCCTGCTATCATTGCCGAGGCCGAACGTTTTGCAAACATGAAATTAAAAGAAGGTCAGCCTATAGAAGTTTTCCATTCAGAAATTCTTAAAAAGGGAAGGAGATTAAACAAGTCTAACAGGGACATATTGGCTAAATTTGTTGAGGGCCTACCAGAAAGATTGGCTTTCTATGTACGAGCTGGACACCCTATCAGTCACCAGACAGCTCTTAATTCAGCCAAAATGGGAGAGGTTTATGGTTACCGTTCTGATACAACAATCTTCCCCCAGTTTCCAACTAGCCTCAATAAACATCAAGCCAATGCAGGTGATAGCACTCAGGCTATGGTTTTTCAGCCAACCCTACCATATGTTGCTTCAGTTGGAAGATCAGAAATGGATACACTAAGGGAAGAAATACAGAAGCCGTCTCAGACTGTACATGAACTTCAAGTTAGTACACAATTAAAACCAAACTCAGCTCTTCACTTTCGGCCAAGTCATAGATATCAGGGACCAAGAGCTGGATTAACAAATCCACCCAGCACTGATAGCTGTTTCAAGTGTCAAGGAACTGGCCACACTAAATCACAGTGTAACTCACCAGACAATCTCAGGGGACGATCGGATCTCTCTTGCCAGGTTTGTCACCAAAATGGTCACTCAGCAAGGAAGTGCAGGCTTGTGACTGTCAAAGACATGGGACAGGGAAACTAGGCATTCCCAAGGAAGCAACTAAGGCGCGCACCCTTGGGATCTGCGAAAGCGCCAATTCTAATCATGTTCAATCAGACTCTATTTTGTTTACAACTAGCAACAGTCAGAATTCAGATAGGTGTATTGTCCAAGAATCAGCCAACAGTTCAGAAAAAGACGATTGCTATTCTTCTCAGTCAGAGCAATGTGACAGTGATGCAGAAGAAAATGAACCCATCCGTAAGACTTTCATGTTTATGCCTGTTCATTTTTCCTCCCTTGAAGTTTCAGCCTTGCTTGACTCTGTAAGTGATATTAACATTGTGTCAAAGGAGTGTTATATGATCCCAGATTGTGACAAGAAACCAATAACCCCAGCCCGGATTGAATCAGTAGTTCTTGCCAGCAACCAGAAAGTTCAAGTATTGGGGACATCAAGAATGAAGATTTCAACTCCTCATGGCAAACATTTTGTAACTGTTCATGTGTTATTACAGACTTCTCATCCAATCATATTGGGAACAGGCTATCTCATATCAAAGGGCATTGTACTTGACTTCAGCCAATGCAAAGTGAGGAAATCAAGTGCCAAGATCAGATGTAGAAAGTCATTTACAGTTCCAGCAAACTCAGAAATTGTGACCCATGGTAAATTACCTGC